ACAGACCCCTCGCCCAGTGTGGGAGGGCATGCCCTTAACAGTGAGGCCAGCCAGGGCCCCTCACGTGGGGCTGAAAGCTGGACCCCCCAGATCTCAAGCCTGCCCTGGACGCTCTGCAGACCCGAAGCCAGCTGCCCCCCCTCGGCCCGCCCTCCTTCCCACCTGCCAAGCCGCCTCCCCTCGTCCTGTCCCCGCCCCAGCTCCCTGTGACTGCAGGATCCCTGAGGAGCAAAGCGGGTTCCTCTGGAGAGGTGGCCCTGCCCCTCGTGGGTGCTGGGACAGGGGCGCCATTGGGTGAAATGCTTCACCCCAGCCGTGTGGCTGAGGTTTGCTTCTTTCTCCCAAAAGTGGGGCGGGGAAGGCCTGAGGGATGCAGTAATGAATGGGCCCTGGCAAGTCCCTTATCTGTGAGCTTGGGGTGAGTGGGCAGTTGTCTAAAACAAAAGGGCCATTTAGCTCAGTGTGGAGAAGGGGTGGGGGCAGGGGGGGCAGTGACGGCCACCTGACAGCACCCCTCTGGGAGGCTCCAGGGCGTCTGTCTTAGGCCTCATCACCTGCAGACAGCTCTGAGGTGCGGGCCTGGGGTTGGCTCTTCTGGTTTTGACGTAAGGAACCTGAGGCTGGGAAGGGGGTTGCCTGGGGTCAGCAGCTCTGTCTGGTTTTGTTTCTGGTGCTGGGCACAGAACCCAGGGGCTCCAAGTGCCACGCAAGTGCTTCACCCCCAGCCCTTTTTATTTTTTATTTTGAGATGGGGTCTCATAAGTTGCAGAGACCGGCCTTGAACTCGAGATCCTCCTGCCTCGGCCGTGGAGTTGCTGGAATGACGGCGGGCACCACGGCGCCCAGCCAGCATGCTGTTTTGTGGGTAGGGAACGTGGTGCCAAGGGGCAGGTGGCGTGTCTGAGTCACACTAGCCAGGGGCAGCACCAGGTTCCCACGCCCACTTCCCGCGCTTGCAACCAGCCCTGAGCCTCCACGCTCTCCCCTCCTGCCCTGCTCCCTGCTGCCTCCCGGGAGGGTCTCTTCCCTCGTGGCTCCTCACAGAACGGCCTTCCAGCTCCTCTTTACTGCTGAGTCCATGATCAACACACCCCACCTGGTTCCTCGAGGCGACTCCCTGAAGTCCCTTCACTTGGAAACCCGTCCACCCGCTTCACTGCTTCTCAGGCTCCTCTGCGTCTCTGGCGTCTAACAAGCCTCCTTGGGGCTCCTTTGCCCCCAGGCATCCAGCCGGTGCCCACCACTCTGCAGCGGGTGGCTGGCCAGTGTCCCTGTCTAGCCCCAACTCCTTCCTGAGCTCTAGACCCAGGTCTGCAGGACCTCCCGGCCAGCGTCCGTCTGGCTGGTCCCCTGCACAGAGCGGTCCTGTCTGCGCAGGAACCGCAGCCTCCTCTCGTCTCCGGCTTCAGTTCAGTGTGACTTACTCAGCAGATGTCGGCCCCTCCTGCTGGCCGCTGCAGTGGCCCTGGAGACCTATGACGTCCCTGCTGCAGAGGGACTGCGTCTGGGCAGCGGTGGGGAGAGACAGACACTGGCAAAGTCAGGAACTTCCCATGTCTCGTGGGGTGGGCCTGGGGAGGTGGCCCTGGGAACGTGGAACTCGTCAGCACTGAGGAGGCCAAGTGGCAGGACTTTCAGGGACCTGAGGGAAGGATGTGTCAGTGCAGGGGCCCTGAGGGGGGAGTTGGCGTGTCCAGTGAACAGCACAGAGGCCAGAGTGGGCCAGAGAGGAGACGGGGTCTGGGGAACTGGAAACAGAGTGTGTGTGTCACACGGCCATCTCCAGGACTGGRACTTTTCCTAAGTGGTTTATGTGGAGTGGTGACTTTCTGAGCAGGGGAGTGACCTGGTTTTAAAGACGTGAAGACCACGTGGCCACCATGTGGAAATACCGGGCAGCAGAGCTGGAGGACTGGCAAAGTGATCCTGAGGAGGCCATGGCCACCATCCCGCAGACGGCCTTGCTGGGCCCGGGCAGTGGTGATGGAGGTGCTGGAGTCCAGAGGACTTGCCGGCGGGTGGTGTGTGGGACKCGAGAGTGGCCGGGAGGGACTCCAGGGTTTTCGTCAGCAGGCAGTTGGGAATGGGGGTCTGGAGCCCAAGGGAGCAATCCCGGCCAAAGCCGGACATTTGTCCCAGTGTAGAAATCACGAGCCCAGAGGAAGTCACCCGGAAGTGTGAGGCCCCAGGAGGAGAGGAGCAAGGACGGCCCTGAGACAGCAGCGGGGCAGAGGACACCGAGAGAGAGAGAGAGAGAGAGAGAGAGAGAGAGAGAGAGAGAGAGAGAGAGAGAGAGAGAGAGAGAGAGAGAGAGAGAGAGAGAAAGGAGCAAGTGGTTGCAGGCACTTGAGCCTGGTCCGTGTCCTGGTCCCAGGAGACGCACCACTGTCCTCCCCTCCCACAGGGGCAGGACCTGGCGCCCTGAGTGCCGTGGGGGTAGACCAGGGGCGGGGTGTGGACTTCAGGGACAGGGAGACCACTCCCTTGTTCCATCGGGGAGCAGCACACTCCAGGAAGATCCAGAACTAGGATGAACGCTGCGTCAGGTACAGGTGACGAAGCTCTGGGTGCCAAGCTGGTTCAAATAAGGTGACCCTTCAGTAAAGGTTCACTAGGCTTTACTGTGTCCCAGCAGCGTGCTGACACCAAGGTCTCAAGGAGATCATGATCCAGTGGCAGGACAGACACATGAACCAGTCGTTAAAAGCTGTCACCTGTAGGTGTGGACATACTCATGGGCACAGGCAGAAGAAGGCTTTCTGGAGGGGTAGAGCCCCGTGATGACCCTCCAAGGACACATATTTGGCCACAGGGACACTGGAGCAGGAGAATGTGTGGGCAGGCAGAAGACGTGGCATGAGCCAGGGCAGGGTGGGAAAGGGCAGGGAGGCCGGACGGGAGGGCCTCAGCTGTCCTGCTCGGTGACACCAGGGCTGGCCTCGCAAGGGATCTCGCAGGGGTTTTACCGTAGAAAAGGCCTGACGGGATTCCTAGGGGGAACACCTGTGTAGCCGAAGAGGTGAGTCTAGAGGACGGGTCCATGTGGAGACGGGCTGTGGAGAGCACAGCGGAGCAGGTAAGCGGAGCTGGGGGCGTGGGTGGGACACAGGCAGCCCAGTTGGATGGAGAGGAGGAGAGAAATCCAGGCGTCGTTTATGGGTACGGTTCCCGGGATGCAGTGATTCGGTGGCCATGGCTGTCCAGCAGAGGGAGGGGAAGAGCCCAGGTGACCCCACTCTTCTGGCCCGGAAGATGGTGCAGCAGAGACCAGGAAGTGCCCGTGGTTCAGGGCAGGAGAGACGAGCTCACTCTGGGCCACGTGCCGTCTCGGGTGCCTCGCGCACAGCAGTCYGTCACTTGGTCAAATGACTCCAATATGCTACCATCCTGGGGACGTTTCAGGGACTTCTCTGAAAACCATTATCAAAGCCAGCCTCTGACCTGTGCGACTGCATCACCGTCACTCCATGGTTCTCCCTCTCCCGCAGGAAATGGCTATGGAATTCTCTGGAAGGTGCCCTGGCATGGCCACACCTGAGCTTGCGCTGGTTCTGCTTCAGGTCCTGTGGTAGTTCCTGCTGACCACGAGGGCATGGAGACCAGGGGAAGGCCTGTACCCTGGGGCTCGCCACCTCCCCAGGTCCAGCCCTGCCTGCCTCAGGTGGCTCGGCTGCGAGGAAGTGCTGCGGGAGCCAGAGCGCGAGGGCCAGGGCTGCTGGCCTGTCAGTGTGCCCTTGACGGCCACTCCAGACCGTTTGGAGAAGGCCCTGCAGGATCCTCTGTCACTTCCCAGGAAGGAGAAATCTGTGTCAAACCAGCCCTCCCCAGTTGGTTTCCTCTGTAATGACTAAGTCCTTGGCAGTTACCAGGTCACGACCCAGTGTCATCCCTGGRTCTGGGGATAGAAATACAAAGAGTGCCCCCTCAGGTCCAGTGCACTCCTCAAAGCTGGGGCCACTAGCTCACAGGACATCCCGAGTCCCTCCACCTGGCCTTCCACCAACGCCCTGTAGGGCAGTGGGGCCCCACGATGGGGTGGTGCGGAGCTCGGGGCCCCACGGTGCCCAGCTCCACCTCTGCCCTGGGTACGCACCGTGACATCCAGCCATCAGCTCTCCCTGGGAAAGTRGAGAGGAGCGTCGTGTGTGCCGTGGAACATTTTGAACGTTAACTGAGCCAAAGGACTTAGCAGGGTGGCTGGGATAGAGCAGGTGCCCCGGAGGTGCYAGTCACGGCTGTTTATCATTCTCATTAGGGTTACGAGCAGCAGCCCGTGGTGGGGGGAAACGTGGTCCTCGCCGTCCTTCTGTACCAGGTTGGGGGGGTGCCTAGAATGGTGGGCTGTGACCCTGCACAGCAAGCCTCCCAGGCTGACCTCGAAGCCCGGGAGAGCAGGGCATCAGACTGGGTGCCAGCAGCTGTGCGGCTTCACAGGCCAGGTGGCCTCCAGGTGGCTGCTGTCTCCTTGAGTTGTCCTTTCCCAGGGCTGCATTTGCCAAGTGCTGGATTGCAGGTGGCAATAGTGTGAACCACCCTCTGGGTTGAAGAGAGGCCCCCTAACAGCTATGACATTAAACTTTGGCTCCTTGCCCTCCTTCCCCGAGCCTTCCTCCAAGTGCATCAAATTCAGCCTCCACCTCGTCCACCAAACAGCCCTCCCCACCCTCAGACCCTGGGGAACCTGTCCTGCAGGGGATCCCCGGAGCCGCTGACCGCCATCATCCCCACTGCCTGGTGCCTCCTGGTGGTGGATGCCTGTCTCTTGAGCTCTGAGCTTTCCTTTGGTCATCTGTGCTCTCCTTTAACTTGTGTGGGCATGGCTTTTTATCTCCGTTTTGTTGTGTTCCCACTTGATCCTGAAACAGTGCAGAACTTCCTGGCCCGATCCCCCTCTGGGCGGCCACCGTGCCGAGCTGTCTGGGTCTGTAAGTGGTGGGCGCCTCTCAGCGGCTGAAAGACTCACATGGCCTCTCTCTTGTGCACCTCTTCTGCCTTGCCAGGTCCAGCTGGGAGCTGCCCGACCTGAGGGAGGGGAGAGTCAAGGCCATCAGCGACTCGGACGGGGTGAGCTACCCCTGGTACGGGAACACCACGGAAACCGTGACCCTGGTCGGCCCCACCAACAAGATCTCCAGGTTCTCCGTCAGCATGAATGACAACTTCTACCCCAGTGTGACGTGGGCCGTGCCAGTGAGTGACAGCAATGTGCCCCTGCTCACGAGAATCAAGAGGGACCAAAGCTTCACCACCTGGCTGGTGGCCATGAACGCCACCACCAAGGAGAAGATCATTCTGCAGACCATCAAGTGGAGGATGCGGGTGGACATTGAGGTGGACCCTCTTCAGCTCCTGGGGCAGCGGGCGCGGCTGGTGGGCAGGACTCAGCAGGAGCAGCCCCGGATCCTGAGCCGGATGGAGCCCATCCCCCCCAACGCACTAGTGAAGCCCAACGCCAACGACGCCCAGGTCCTCATGTGGAGGCCCAAGCGGGGGCCACCCCTGGTCGTAATCCCCCCCAAGTAGAGCAGACGGCCTGACTGTGGAGCACACACCGCGAGGCACTCTGCGAGGTTACCAGGGTGGCAGGAGCCACACTGGTCTCTGAGCCAAAGCAGACCTCTCAGCCGGCCGGCCAGCCCCCGCAGCCACCGCGCAGAGCCAGCGCCCCTCGGCGGCGGGGTCCCTAGGAAACGCCCTTCCTCTTAGGAGTAAGTCGCTGATTGACAGACTTGCCGGGACTGTCTCCACGCAGCCATGGTTCGGCGCGGACCAGGAGGGTTCTCTGTTTGTTGCCCATTTCTGCCCTGCGAGACGCAGGGGACGGCCGTGGAACTAAGCAGTGCCTGTGGTGGCCAGGGCTGCTTCCCCACCAGCTGAATGGAGTGCAAACAGCCGCACCCGTGTGGTGAGGCACGGCCCCTTGTCGATGGAGGGGCTGGGGAAGCAGGTGTGAGAGGTGGCAGAGCAGAGGGTGGGGGAGAGGATGTGCTTTGTCAATGGACCTCGGCTTGGGACACGCACTAGAAGGAAGGGAACGCTGGCCAGCCAGGAATCCAGGCGCTCCGCACCAGAAGGGGGAGCTCCCGGGAACTGTCCAGGGTGCTGGCCCACTGAGCCGTGGAGATGCCGCTTCCCCTCTCCAAGGAGGCGGAGCCCGGCCTCCTCCCCGCAGAATGGACGCGCTGTCCCTCCTGCCGCAGCCCTGTGTTTGGGCCCTGCGTGTTTTCAGTGGAGCCCAAACTGATTTTGTTTACAGCTGCTTATTCTTCTCCCATCACCAGCCCTAACTTTACAAAACAGATTGATAAGCCATGAAGCCATGGAGGGTTTCAGCATTTCAACAGGCAAGAACCGTGTTTTCAGGTGTGTGGTTTTCTTTAGCCTCTGAATGATTGGAAGACCTACAATGCACACATGAATGCACACTCGTCAGCACACACACGCACATGCACAGCCGTGGGTACAGCATGTGACCGATTTGCCGGAAGCGCCTGCTTCCGTGCACCGTGACCCCCGCACACACAGTGACAACACTGTTTTCCACAAACATTCACTGAGTTCAGCTTCACAGAGGCCCACTTGGAGCRTTTGTGGAAAAGTGCTTCCCAGGGCATAGCGTCAGCTCCTTCATGGAAATCTGAGTGGTTTAAACTCAGCGAGCCTGTGTCACTGAGACCCAGCCCACAGGGACAGGAGGCCCGGTGTCCTTCCATCAGGGCCCTCTGAGACTTTTTAAACAGTGTCCACACTTTACATGAGAATGTTTCTAGCTCTTCCAACCTCAGCCACCCCCCCCCCGACCAAAAGAGCTTCTGCCTTTATTCTCAATAGTGGAAACTGTGGTTGTGGGAGGGGGTCGTTTCCAACTCCCACGCAAACTGGCTATAAAATGCCACAGGGTCACTGTGTGTTTAGTGGGTGGCACGGCAAGCCTGATTCCAGAGGTGAGCGCTCTCAAGTCCAGAGCAGTCACAGTCCCACGGCTGCTGCCAAAGATCTGCCTTCTACCAGAGCGGCAGAGCGTGGGGACGCAGGGTGAAGACAGGAGCACGTGTTTATTAGTTTTATTAAAAATGCAGTTTAGCCTAATCCGTTCAGGTCTGAGTCACAGGATACAGTTCTTGGACACTTGAGAGTGTTGACAGGCCCCCTCCACACTATGGAGCRTTAACCTCACACCCTGATCTTCACTACTCTTTTGCAGATCAGCTATTGATGGCAGGTTTTTATACAGCACAGTGACACACATGGGAGACACTCGTGTAGAAGTGGTTCAGTCATCACCCTGGGATTCCTCTGTCCCTTCCCATGCTTGAGATAAAGCTGTTTGTTTCCACACAGTGTCAGAAACAGCAACCGCTCTCTGGGACTGAATTAGATGCCACCTTGRTGGGATTCTGGGGAGCGGATTCTGATCCTATAGTCCAACCAGAACCGCCCCACTTTAAAAAAAAAACTGATATTTAAAAATCCATCAGTGTGGCCACAGGTTAATTGCAAAATCCTCTGCAAGGTTTCAGTTTTCAAATTTCCCCAGCCCATTAAAGTAAGATATGACTTATGCAATTAGAGTTACACATAATGTGGTTTTTTCAAAGGCAAGTGTGTATTTATACAGCCAGGGCAGCATAGACAGTGCCTTCATTTAAAAAAAATAAAATCACTTTTTGGAGTCTCCCAGCAGTTTCTGGGAAATTATGTAATAGAAAAATAAACAAGAAAAATATATGGGGAAGAGCTTATAACAGTTTAAGGCGTTCTGCAGATATGCATTGTGGTCACTGTCGGTGACACTTCCCGGACTCTTTAGTCGAGTCTCTGGGGTCAGCCTGGCAGCACACTCGGTCGCCCTGGAGCCAATTATTTGGAAGTCATCTTTGTTTTAGGAGGATCTGTGGGTGTTGCCTTCCAGCCTAGTCAGGGTATTACCCGATGAAAGACTCTCACAAGCGAGAATCAGCCTGGAACCTCTGTGGGGTCGCCCCTCCCTCCCACGGGCCAGAGAGTACCTGGGTCTGCGCAAGGTGCCATCGGCTACCAGGGCCATTCGGTGCCCTCARGGTCAGGTGGTGGTCTCAGGGCGGGTCTGGACTCTACATGCGCTGCGTGGTTTCTTGGAGGCCCAAGTTTTGAATTCCTGTGTGTGAAAGAAGWGGTCGTCAGACCCTAGGTTCTTAGATGAGGTCACCTTGGAGACCTCTGAGACTGTGACCTTGAAGGATCTCTTTGAGTCTCTGTGCAGTGCCATCGATTAAGGTCACATCCCACATCGGCCTGAGGCCAGGAGCAGCCTGGTCACACAGCAGTCGCCTTAGTCGGCTCACAGCTCTCCCTGGCTCCATGAGAAGCCTTGTCACCGTCCCAGGACTCTCTCCCCACAGGCCGAAACTCCAGACCCCTGGACCCACCCTTTAAAGAACAGCAGAGAACACTCGTGACTGTGGAGTCGGAAAACAGAAGTTCCGTGGCGGCCTTTATGAGGGGGGCCCTGAGCCGGGCCCTTTGCAGCCTGCGTTCACGCCCCCAGGTCACTGTGGTGCCCGTGGCACCTGGGAAGGTTGGCAGCCATTCTGTGGGCCTTTCCAGACTCCCCCTCTCCTGTGCCAGGAGAGACGCTCGAGGTCACAGGCATGCTCTCAGCAGCAATCCTGTCAAGACCGCGACTTACAGACTCTTGTGCACAGGCCGCCACGGGCAGGTCCCCTTCCCAGGCAGGCTCACAGGAAGTGTGACGCCATGTCACCATCACTGTGACCTGGTTACAGAGAGCAACTGAGACCAGAGAGGTTAATTGGCAGACCCTAGACACATAAGCAGAAAAGGTCAGGGCCAAGGTCCACACTAGGCCTCTGAGCTCCAAATCCCACAGAGAGAAGAAAGGAGCCGCCATGTTGCCCTAACCTCTTTGCCCAGCGGCCTTGCGCCCAACAGGAGAGCCAACCCCGTTCTCTCACGCAGAGAACCTTCTTCTCCCAGGGAGGCTGGCCCAGGAAATGCCTGTCAGGGGCTGGGTGTGGGAGGGCTGCCGTCGCTGGCAGCTCTCAGCACAGGACTCGTAGTTAGCAGGGTAGGAAATCTGTTCCCCTGGTCTCAGAGTCCCTTAAACACCACAAGTACAAAGACTTGGAGGAAATGGTGCGTCCTGCAGTGCCCGCAGCTCGGCAGGCGCAGCCCAGGGGAGGAGGCCATGAACAATGGCCTGCAGCCCCCTGGGCTGAATGCTGAACGTGGCCGAGTTATAACTGAGGGCACAATTAGCATCGCCAGAGTCGGCTCCCAGCGGAGTTGCAGAGAACGATGTAAACACGCACACACACAAAGACCCACCACACTCACACACTTTTCAAGCTGAAAAGAAAATTAATCAAAAACCCAGTGAACGCCTGAACTCTATAATTAAGCCCAAGCGATCCTTGGATAGAAAGGGAGCCGGGTGAGCAGCTCAGTCAGAGATATTTTTACCCCAGTCATTGCCATTAATTTCTTTTGAGATCTTGAGTACAGCTGGTTCCCATTTCCCTGGTGGGACGTCTGCCTGTGGAAGCCTTCCGGAGAACGGCCATCTCTGCAGCCAGAGGACAGTCAAAGTCACTTGGTCACTCCCAGGCACTTTTATGGGAGTGCATCTGGGTCAACGGGGAGGCCCTGTGCCCTGGTCAGCTGAGCGTCCTCTGGGGCAGATCCCATCACCAACCTTGAGATGCCTTGGGGAGCCTCGGGGCCGGGAGCAGAGGCAGACGCTCAGGCCCCACCTACGTGGAAGCCCAAAAGCATCTCAGGGAACCCACCCTTCCTGCCAATCAAGGCCTGGCTCAGGATCTGCACTCTCCCCTGCCGTCTTACTCGGGAGGCCTGAACCTGCAGGAAGCCATCTCCAAGAGGCCTTTTGGAGAGGAAGGGGGCTGAGCATCGGGTCTGGGCAGGTCACAATCCCAGCTCGATTCTCCGCCAGCGCATTTCCTGTGGTGATGACGGACCAGAGACCAGAGGGGATATATGCGTTCCAACTCTTGCGTGGGTCTGCACTGGCCCGTCTGTCCCTCAGCACTGGGACTCCATGGTTTGAAGTGGCATGGCAGATTTTGACATGCGAGTTCACAGAGAAGGAGGAGGTGCTTCTGCCCCCCACCAGCCCAGCTGTCCCACCACAGGAGGCACACTGGTCACACTGGTCACGGCCCTACCTCTCCAGCACACAGGACTCCTGGGCTGGTCCCCCGACCCCCGCCCCAACTCATACCTCATCCCTAACTGTGCCAGGTTCCCCAGGAGCATCTAGCAGGCTCTTCTCTCAGGCCCCTGGGCAGCAGGCCCTGTGGCCACACATAGTGCCTCTCCTGTGTCTCTGCCCGTGGCCTGGCCCGTGGCTGACGTGCGTGCATTATCTCTCCTGTTATCCAACCAGCGCCGGGCCCAAGATGCCCAGGAGAAGGAAGAATGGACTTCCGAATCACAGCTAAGGGCAGAGGGCAGGGCATGACCCAGCACCAGGGACGCACTGAGGCCTTGTGGGCTGGCCTCAGCTGGCCAGGAGGGAGAAGAGAAAGGAGGACAGGTGCTGCAGCTTCCTGCCTGGCCTGGGACTCAGGTGAGCCAGCCAGGTGAGCAGGTCAGGCTGCTGGGACACAAGGTCCAAGCCAGGCCCCATGTGCCCCACCGAGGGCAAGTCTCCTCAGCTTCCCCAGGCACCTGGCTCCTGGGTCCCCACCGTGCTCCACCTACCCTGGGGCACAGCAGGGCAAGGAGGGCGTCCTGGGAGCCCGTGAACATCAYTCTCCAAGGAGCCTTGACACTGGTGTCTCCCAGGAGGCTGAGGGGCCCCTCCCTGCTGGGGCCACACACTCCCAGGAAGCCCAGAGCCTTGGGAGGTGCCCCTCAGCCTCCTCTGTCCCGTCCAGCAGCCAGTCCACCTTTGAAGGGCCTGGCCTGGCCCCTTTCTGGCCCGTGAGGGTCAAGTGACAGGGCAGGACTTCTCTCGTGCTTTGAGCTCCTCCAAGGACAGGGACTGAGGACCCTGCAGCCAGGTCAGCGTACACCCTGCAYGAGGGACGGAAGAGGCCGCTGCTCTCTCTCCATCTGCTCCTGTCCCTTCACCCCCACCCCTCCAACCCATTAGAATCTTCTGCACAGACGTGAGCCAATGAAATGTTAATTGGAAAAGTAACAGGAGAGAGAATGCACGCACTTCAGGCCGAGAACGAGTTCATTAAACTGGGCTTTGAAAGCAAGACAGCCAATTAGATTATTTCCCACTTCACTCCCTCACACACCAGAAACTCTGGAAAGCTATGACTTTTAATTAATCAGGAAAGAAGAAAGTCTGCGCCTGCATATCAGATGAACGGGACCGGAGCCCCCCACC